TTAATTATATTGTTCACGTGTCCCTGCAAAACTATGCAGGCACAGTTGCAGATAACATCCGATATGGACCACAATTACGAGGAAAGAAACTAAGTGACAACGATGTCTACAAGTTTCTCGCTCTTGCGGATCTTGATTCTTCTTTCTTCAACAAATCTGGGGGAGAATTATCTGTTGGTCAAGCTCAAAGAGTTGCACTTGCTAGGACCTTAGCTAATGAGCCCGAGGTAACCTATCGAGTAAATTTTGGAACGACTTACTAAAATTTCGTATCCATTTGATATCATGTTCCCTTTTTTATGAAGGTTTTGCTACTTGATGAGCCCACGAGCGCGTTGGATCCAATCTCGACTCAGAACATTGAAGATGTACTCGTAAAGCTGAAGACAGACAGAGGAATGACTATCGTGTTCGTCTCTCACAGCATCAAACAAATCCAGAGGATTGCTGATGTAGTTTGCCTTCTTGTGGACGGCGAGATTGTAGAAATATTGAAGCCCGAGCAACTTTCCAAGGCTTCTCATCCTACCGCACAAAGGTTTCTTGAGCTCAGTTCTTGAGTTTTCTTTTCTGATGTTGTATATGTAACTCCTATTATGATCGTAATATAGTTTGTTATGTAATGTTGAGCTCTGTGTACTAAATATGACCAATATGTACTAGCTGAGAGCTGTAGAAATGCAGAAGGGGACTGGAGTAATACATTGATCGAACAATGATTAGTCATTCACAGTCAGATTATACAAAAGCCATAGAACTTAACGACAATGGCGGAAAATAAATTGAATGGAAAGAAATTAAGAGAACTTTAAATTAGGAAATTTCATTAAAAGCTTTGGAATAGGTCAACACTAGTGCTAGTTCAAATGGTCGATGCGAGCCACAGAGTTGAAGAGACTAATTATAAACACGTGGTTCAGGGGCTTGGTAATGTTAGTGGCATTGGCTTTGCAGAATAAAAGGAAGAAAGCTAAAGAATAGTACTCATTTTCACAAATTATCACTTGTAAGTAGCTCTGATGTCTGATACTGAAAGTGAAGTGGAGACTGAAATTTAATATCCAAATGAATGGACCTAANAATGTTGATGGTTTGTAGGAAGAAGCCTAATCCCCCTATTTAGAGTAGGTTGTCTGGTCAAAAAACAAGAAAATGTGGTGGAAAAATGAGCATATTTGCTAATTTAATGGGTTGTTAGCAAGAACAAAATTGGAAAGTTATTGAGAATCTGATAAATTCTTGACCACTCAGAAAGAGAGAAACCAATTTAAACATCTATAACATGAATCAAGCAAGAGAATATGGCGAATTTCTTTCACCATTCGTACAAGGTCTGATCCTTGACTAGAGGGGACATCGAAGGGTCTGCGGCCTCTGCCCTTCATCTTTGATCATTTGTAGACAAAAATTCTGAACTATGTAACTTTAATTTCGAGACAGAAAGGGTGGGCGAGGCAAGAACTGAACGCAGGAGAGATGCTACAGAAATTGAAGTTTGAGAACCCATTTACTAAAAAAATGGTTTCAGTAAATGAAAATAGGAAACTAAGATGTTGCGAAAATAAGATTAATTTTCCACATTAACTATATAATGCAAGAAACTAGACTCACAACAACACTCCAATTCATAAACTAACTATATTGAAGTGATTAAATGTAATAAGGTGATGGTTTACATTATCACAACAGCTGGAGTTTGCATGTGTTTGACGGAGCAATAAAAATATAATCAACTTAGAAAAATGAAATGAACTGCACATGTGAAAGTTAACTTCTAATGTTCATTCAATCTAGCATACAAATGTTAACTTCTGTTCCTCCAAAATTATTTATTGCAAGTTTTTGAGGATTTTGTCCCCGCCATAGCTATGTGCCACAGGTATTTTCTGTAGATTACCGTCTAGCCAGCGTAGCTCAAGAGTTGATATGACCGTTCTCTGTTTTATATTTTTGGAGCTCATCTTGGGCGCATATAAACCTATGTCAAAGAAAAAAGCTAACTAAAAAACCTGGTTGTTGTATATGGATGTAAATATAGTCACAAGTACCTCCACTGTAAATCAGTTATTTCTCGAAGCAATTCTTTTTCCCGATCATGAGCTACCTCCAGCTGGAAAACCAAGAAGAAAACTAGAATGGGTAACTCAATGTGTAAAAGTTAATATACCAATGGAACATAAGAATATTTTGAATTCAGAAGATCTACAGAAAAATCTAAGGAAGAAGGCACACTCCAATAATGCAAAATTTAACTTTTGAAGGTGAATAATTGGACATTAAATGTTGACAGAACTATTCTTAAGTGAGTCGTGTAGGAGCAATACCAACTACATCAAATGTTAACAGACAGCATTTCCCAAACACCACAGATTCCTTGGGGAAAAAAAAGGCACAAAACAATTGAAGAGTCCATGAAATGGATATTACTTAAGTTGAAGGAAATCAATGGCAAGTCTCCACAGCACGGGTACTCGTGTTGTCACAAACTAGAGATCTGAAGGTAAACATTTACACTACAACGGTAAACAAAGAATAGATAATATTTCTTGAACCACCTCATCTAAAAGCTCTGGTTATTAAAAAGGGACTGAACTTGTTCATTTAAAATTTGTCTCTATGTCTAGGTGCATGATAAATTCATTTTTTTCTCCATCAAAGCCTTGCATGTGCACAATTTTCATAATTTGGTGCAGTGAGACTTGAACTCGAACATTTGCCAGTTTTTTTTAACATGTTGAACTCCCACCTCGTCTGAAATCTTAAGCTATTGGAGAGGGGACAAATTTATATATAAAACCTGTTTCATTAAAATTCATCTACTTGGCTAATGGTAAGCCTTATAACAGTACATACCAAAGATTTATCCGCCACACCAGGGTTCGTCGCATCTGCAGAAAAGGCTAAACACGGGTGAGAACAAATATGAGAAGTAAATGAAAAATCTAAAGATACGTTCATTGCTCACACCTGTAGAGTCACATCCAGAGATTTGCTTCATGAGACTAAGAATACAGTCCTGTTTGGTTGGGGGTGGGGGGCAATTAAGAAAAATATTGGGAGAATTTTCAAGAAAATAGATGAGGGAAAAAAAAAAAAAAGGATTGCCCATACCCTTTGAAGAATGTTTGTATGCAAAACAGACTGCAACGCAGGAAAAAGAGCTTGAACAAGAGGATTTGATGGTGGAGCATCAAGTAGCAATGGTGGAGAAATAGCAGGATGCTGAGATATCACCTACACAGCCCACAATGCTTTCATTAATCTTCCAATGGAAGACAACAAATGTGGTCGAAATTGTGTTAAGGGAAGATTTAACAAATCATAAACTTGACTGGTTCAATGTGTTGATGTCTTAATGCACGTGCGCCACTGCTTCTAATTATCTTGAGTTTCCAATAAATAAGTTGCAGAATCTCAAAATTACAACTATGTTGAAGCAAGATACCACTTAAAAACACTCTGTTAGTAAACCAGTATAATATAAAAACATATCCTCGTTTTCTTGAGGATTTTGTAACTTTTCTTAATCAGTATCTAGTGGTTAAAGTTAAATGCTACATAAAATTTAACTTCAACTCTAGAGCTAGATAAAACAAAATAGTCAAGATTGAGATTGAATATATGCAGTCAGTTATGAGGATTCATTTCCCACTGAACTGGATCCTCAAAAGCACAAGGAAATGTAAGCTGTAGTTACGCAGTGCAAGTAGTTTCGTAGTATGGTTTGGTCTCTATATATCATTCCCATATAATTCTCCCTTGCATTATACATTCAATATAGGAAGAACAATAAAATAAGTTTTCCCAATATGTTTTCAAATCAAACCTGCATGCTATGGCTTTTGTGTAGCATTGGAGCTGGAACCACCTACAGGAATGAAATAATCAGTCTGAAGAAATTATAGACAAGATTACTGACATGAAGACCTAAATACTAACCTTTTCTACATCAACATTCTCAGATGTAACCTTAAAACGTCCTTTTTGTTGAACAACCGGCCGTTTTGCCTTCTCGTCAATTTCTTCACTGTTTGCTGCATCGTGAATGTACAGACTTGTATTAGAAGCATATGACACCAAAATTATTGTTCACTGAATCCCAGAGTTCAAAATGATAAAGTTGACTAGTCTGATGCTCTTGAACCTTTTGAAATCATTTCCGCTTGCGCATCATCTACCGTTTGAGGAATGGAGGATCCGTTGCAACTTGAAAAATTTTGGGGCTGAGTTTGGAGTTTATCACTATAGAATAAAAGAAAATAATAGAAACTTGTCGAGGAAAATATGACATGCAATGTATATAAGCTTTGTAACTGAACAAACCCAAACAGAACCTTAAATCCAGAAAGTGCACGCATTAGTAATCTTAGCTGCAACTATTGGTGGATTCTAAAAATTATGTTATAACATGTCAGCTTTCAGAATGCTAATTGACTCATATAAGAAAGAACATAAATCTTGTACTGCACATATCCCTCGAGCAAATATATTAAACTGGAAATAGATAGTAGAGCAAAACATTTTTGTACACTACAGAAAAAATTATGATGTATATAGTAGGAAAGACCAAATGATGCCAAAAATAACTATAAATAATGGTACACTTTACTCTGACGTGTTTAAATGCAAAGATATGCTTAGATAAAGTATAGCCCTCTAAACATCTACAAAGCTTCAACTCTCTTTTTTCGATGAGAAAGTGCTGGAAAATGTCTAAGTCGCCAACTTTGGCTAGGATAACCGACGAGTTAAACAAGGCATGAAATAAACATATGAGACCATCAAATCAACAGATCTAACACATTAAAGTACATATAAGAAAATAAACAGAAAAGTGAAACAGTCGCGTGGTACCAACCCTGTAAATAGTTGTATGTGTTCATGTTTAAGAATTAAAAGACACGTGATCAGAGATGCAAGAAAGAGACATTATGGAAAATGACATTTCAAATAATGCCACTATTGTTTTGTCATTCCAAACGAAAGAAAATGAAAGGAAAATTGGAAAGAGATAATGATAAAAGCATCTTTTACGAGGTAATTATAAATGCATTTTCTATATAGCCAAATACCTATGACATCTAAAAACATACTATCTGCCCTGCCATTTTTTATATAAACAGAATTTCTACCTGTGTTTCTACACTAAATTTTCTTGTAGAATTAGTTAACATATTGTAGAAAATCGTGTAATATGGAAATATGGAAATTGTAATTAATTTTAGATTGTGATTTTTAGGTTAATTGGTAGGTTGATTTATTTCCTTACTTTGGTGATTATAGTTTCCTTTTCTATTTTGTATTGTATAGTATAAGTAGGAGGTATAGGATTGTGTTTTATGTGTCGTGGAATAAAATTTCCAGTATTCCAATTCTGATTTCATGGTATCAGAGCCTAAATTTCTCTAACCTAGCAACAAAATGGCGGAATTCCCCCCAACAGCAGAGAGTCGACGACCTCTGCCACTTTAGAATTTGAAACAGAAGTCAGCCCCCCCAATCGGTTCAACTGGAGTAGAGAACTCCACCTTCCAACTCATGGTGAAAAAATTGAATGGAAGGAACTACCGAGAGTGGGCCCAATCCATAAAATTAGTAATAGATGGTAAAGGAAAATTGGGTATCTTACCGGCAAAACCAAGAAACCGACCGACTCCGTTATGCTGCAGAAGTGGAAATCAGAAAACTCCATGGTGAGGACTGGTTGGTAAATTCAATGAAACCGACCATCGGAAAAACATATCTCTTCCTCCCAACAGCAAAAGATGTCTGGGATGCAGAGAAGTCGTAAATTCAATGAAACCGACCATCGGAAAAACATATCTCTTCCTCCCAACAGCAAAAGACGTCTGGGATGCAGAGAAGGAGACTTACTCCGATGTGGAAGATTCCTCGCACATATTTGAAATTAAAACCCGACTATGCCAGACCCGGCAAGGCTCGAGAGATGTTACTAATTATTATATGAAAATGGTGGCCCTCTGGCAAGAATTAGATCTTAGTGTTGAGGAATGGAAGTGTGTGGATGACTGCACACTGTACTGGAAGAAGGTGGAGAATGAGAGAGTGTATGTGTTCCTTGCAGGCCTAAACCGAGAGCTGGACGACGTCAGAGGAAGAATTTTAGGCCGGCGACCGTTACCACCGGCTCGCGAAGTGTTCGTCGAGGTCCGTCGTGAGGAAGCTCGCCGATTGGTGATGCTGAAAGATGGGAACGAGTCTCCAGAGATGTCGGCCCTAAATGTAAAAGGGAGTGGGCCTCCAAGTGTGAAGATAAATGGGCCAATTAATAGTGGGCCCGGAACAATTTTTTTAAAAAACAGTGAGCTGGAAAATAATGGGCCTCCAAGTAATGGACTTCCAAGTGGAAATGGAGTATTGGGCCTATTCTCATAAGGGGCTGCAAATGGGTCAACCCAAAAACAACGGGGACGACCATGGTGTAAGCATTGTCGCAAGCCGGGGCACAAAGAAGACACGTGTTGGAAAATTCATGGAAAACCTACCGACTGGAAGCCAATGCAAAATGATAGGATCCGAGGATACCAAGCTGAAACAAAAATTCCTACTTCAAGCGGGGCATTCAATTCCGAACAAATGGAACAACTCTATCAGATATTTTCAAATCTTCAAACATCTGGTCAGCCTTCTCCTAAAGGTCCCTCTAGTTCTCTCGCCCATAAAGGTAACTTTCTAAGAGCGTTAAATACCTCACAATATAACACTTCTTGGATCATTGACTCCGGTGCATCTGACCACATGACAGACTCATACTACTTATTTTCTTCATACACAACTTGTGCTGGAAATATTAAAGTGAAAATTGCAGATGGCTCACTCTCCTCCGTTGCAGGAAAAGGAAGTATTCGAATCTCAGAGTCTATCACATTACAATCCGTCCTCCACGTCCCAAATTTGTCTTGTAATCTATTATCTGTTAATCAACTAACCAAAAGTTCAAATTGCTCTGCTAATTTCTTTCCTTCTTACTGTGTATTTCAGGACCTTTCATCGGAGAAGACGATTGGCAGTGCTAAAGAGTGTGAGAGACTATACTACTTCGAGGAAGCTAATATGAGTAAACTAGGTCAAATTACAAATTGTAATCCTACATTTGTCTCTAAGGATAGCAAAATTTTGTTATGGCACTATAGAATGGGTCACCCTAGCTTTCCCTACTTGAAACATGTACTTCCTTTACAATTCTTGAATAAAACATCAATTGATATTCAATGTGAGAGTTATGAATTTGCAAAACATCATCGAACTTCCTTTCCAAATTCCACATATAAACCATCTACACCATTTGCTTTAATTTACGGTGATTTATTGGGACCATCCCGCATACCTAATCAAACCCAAACAAGATGGTTCGTCACATTCATTGATGATCACACTCAGGTATGCTGGGTATATCCACTAAAGGAAATATATGATGTTTGCTCGGTATTTATAAACTTTCACTCTATGATTCGAACTCAATTTCAAGCACAACTTCAAATTCTGCGCACTGACTGGCACAGAATATTTCAATACCACCTTGCAAGACTACCTAAAAACACATGGGATAATTCACCAAAGTTCATGTGTCAACACCC